CCACCCCAACCCCGCCGCCGCCGCCCTCGGCCTCAGGCCGGGTGCTGTCGTCGTCGTCGTCCATCTCCTCCGCACTCCTCTTCGCCACCGCATTCTCTGCTTGGGCCGCTTTCAGGTGAGACTGGCTGACCTGCTGGAGACAGTAGCAGCAGTTCTGTGTGGGGCGAGCGAAATGAGGGAGCGAGTAGAAAACGGATCCAGAGGCGACGGAAGGGAGCAACCAGGGCAGCAATGCCGCTTTCCGCCACAATCGCTTGTTCGTTTTTTCGCGCTCCGCTGACCTATATCGCATGGCACCCCCTCTACAAAGGTACTTTCTCGGCGGCCTTGCCCTTCCCGCCTCATGCAAGGTAAGGAAACGACGCGTTGGCCGCAGGCAAATGGTGATGGAGGCCCAGTCGAGTAATCAAATCATTTCAAACGCGTAGCTATTCGCGTTCGGCTGCCCGCCAGTCCTGCCCAGCCGCGGATTCGTCCACGCAGAGCACAAGTACATTGAGCCTCTTTTCCACAAGATCTTTGTTGACGGCGACGATGTTGGCGCGAGCTTTACGGCGTACGGTGAGCGATCGCCCACGACGTGTTCCTAGGATCTTCGCTGAACTCCTGCCCCTCCTCCCCGATCCTTCCGAAAAAAACTCGCATCAACTTCCAGTCGACGGCGTCAAAGTCGCTGAGCTCTACGGCGGCTACACCGACAAGACCTACGCGACGCCGTACTCGGAAGACACGCTCCAGCTCGTGTTTTCCGCCAGCAAGATGGTCACGACGTTCGCGGTGCTCTCCCTCCTGGACCGCGGCCACATCCCGAGCCTGGACGCCAAGGTCGCCGACTACTGGCCCGAGTTCGCCGAGGGCGGGAAGGAGAACGTAACCATCTCGCAGCTTTTGTCGCACCGCGCCGGCCTGCCGTTCCTCGACCCCGAACGCGCCCCGGGCGTGCGCGAGCTGGCAGATCTGGACGCGCTGGCGAAAAAGATTGCGGGTCAGCCGCACGCCTTTGGTGGGGAGGTGCGGAGCGCGTACCATGCTCTGGCCGGAGGTTGGTTCGTGAACGAGTTTGTGCGGCGCGCGGATCCAAAGGGAAGGAGCATTCGATACGTCGTCCAGTTGGGTTGAGCCTTCCCTTTATTTCTATTTTCTTTTATTCCCTCTCTCTCACGCGTGCCATATTCCTCGCTCCCTATTCCGCAGAGAAGACATCCTCCCCATCATCTCCTCCTCAACATCGAACGAGCGACCCTACGAGTTCTACCTCGGCCTCACCGACTCGCAATACCCGGCGCTCCTCCCGCGCCTGGCCCCCGTCATCGGTCTCTCCCCGCTCCAATCCCTCTTCCACCTGCTCGTCCCGCACAGCATCCAGCGCGCGCTCGGCGCCGTGCCCATCTCCACCGTCATGTTCGACGCCCTCTTGGACCCCTCGTCCATCTGCGCAAAGGCTGTCTTTAGGTCCGGCCCGACGTTCGACCCGACGTGGAAGCAGTTCCCGGAGACGTACAATAACGAGTTTATCTGGAGGTCTGAGAACCCGTCGTTTGGGGGGTTGACGAACGCGAGGACGGTGAGGGACAAGTTGTGTGAGGAAGCGGGGGGAGGGGAGTCCGTGAGTGAGTGTGAGTGTGTGTTCCTGTGGATGAGTGACTGACTGAGTGAGTTTTTACCCCAGCTCGCACGCCTGGCCGCCTTCATGGTTAACAACGGCACGCTCGACGGCGTGACCCTCTTCCAGCCCTCCACAATGCGTGCGGCACTTGAGCTGCAGGACGCGCGAATGGACGACGTTGTGAAGGTGTACTTTGCCATTACAAAGGCCGGTTGGGGCATCTTTGACACGCACTTTGTCAACGGGACCACGTTCTACGGGTGGAGCGGGTCGGGCGGGTCGATTATTCTGGTGAGTTTTGTCGAGGCCGCGTATGAAGCAGTAGATCACTCAGAATAGGCTAAAAGATACCCCCCAAAAATATCCGCCCCGTCGCACACTGTCGTGCCTGTCAAACTAGTGGAGCTACGAGCTGAACCTGGCGGTTTCGTACGTCATGAACGTTGGGCACTTTGAATTGATCGGGGACAAGCGGAGTCGCCGGATTGTCGAGGGCATCGTGAACCACCTGAAGAGCTCGAAGCAGGATGCGAAAGCTGCCGCGCCGTTTTACTCCCACGTCGTCAAGCTCATCAACGGTGGCGATAACGAGGAGCTCAACTTTGAGTCCCTCCAGGTGAGCGGACTGTTTACCGAAACACAAACACACCATTCAATGCTTCCGCCCACGCCTTTCCCACACCACTAGGGCAAAGTGACGCTCATCGTCAACGTCGCGTCCCACTGCGGCTACACAAGGCAGTACCCTGGCCTCGAAGCGCTCCACCGAAAATACGCTTCTCGGGGCCTGACGGTCCTCGGGTTCCCCTGCAACCAGTTTGGCGGGCAGGAGCCCGGCAGCGCGGCCGAGATCGCGGCGTTTTGCGCCAAGACGTACGCCGTGACGTTCCCCATCGCCGAAAAGATTGACGTCAACGGGCCGGCCGCGCACCCGCTTTTCGTGCAGCTGAAAGGCGCGGCGGGCGGCGGCGACGTCCGGTGGAACTTTGAAAAGTTTTTGGTCGGCAGGGACGGAAGGGTCGTTGAGAGGTTTGGCAGCCGGACGACCCCGGAGGAGTTGGATGAGAAGATTGCTGCGCTGCTGTGATGATGCTATACATCTCTCTCTCTCACTTTGTCGGCGGTCTTAGTCGTGTTTACTACGAACAAAGAAAAAAGAAGAAAAAAGAAACGCATTAATATTTCACCTCAAGTAAGTCGTCCCACAAGTGGAAATTCCGTGGTCGGCAAGCCCAAGAAGCCGCTGGTCCTGTTTGGCGCGCTTGCGGGAAGCTTTGTGCGCTGTTGGAGCCGGAGGGGCCGTCGAGGATCGCAACGACAAGAACGATAACATTCAAGCGGCTTGGGACGTCAGCCAAGGCAAGCAAAGACTCGGCCGAAGGTATCAAAAACGGGCTGGGCGCGTGTGATGGGATCGGCGATTCGGAATCAGCAGATTTTTGGACCTGCTCGCCACCAGGTTTACTCGCAAAATGCCAGCGAGCAGCGATTGAGTCCTATCTTTCCCCACTTCTGTTTTGGCTCTTTAGCGTGCCATTTTCTTCCGTCATACTGTATTTCTGTCTTATGGCGGCATAAAATATAGGGTCTTGCTATAGCCAGCCCTCTGCGACTAGGAGAAATTGCCAGCCCTGCCGCCCCCACACAGCCCCCACATCCCCCTCCAGCCCTTTCCTTTATTTTTCAATTCTTCATTTTCTTTCCATTTTGGGAGGAGACAAATTTCAAAAAAGCAGACAGAAAAGGAAAGCATAAAGGAGTGAAGACCTGCGTCGACCGACCCACAGGCGAAGCCAACGCGCCAAGAAGCTGGACTTTCAATCCAATGCTCGCCATACGCGACAGCGGCTGCAGTTGCAACCTGGATTGTTTCGATGACGATTGACAGAGACTATAGTGATGTATTGGAGAAGAGACTAATGCTGGAGAGATTTACGACGATATCAATCTGGACAGTACCATCTTTGGAGAGGGCCAGAACGAGATCGACACCCAAAGCTGTTTGGATGCATTGGCCCCATCTGCTGGATCAGTCACTATGGAATCGATTCGCCTTCCACCAGAGATCTAGTGAACTTCATACAAAAGTTTGTGCTCAGTGAAAGTACGCTTCAACATGGTCAAAGTAACTGGGATCTCGTGCGCGGGAGCAGCAGCGAAAATGCAGCCATTGCAATCTACCAGGCCACAACAAGCACACTTGCCCTCGACGAACATAAGACCTGAGTTTCCAGGGTCGGCTCGGATTGGTTGACGCAGAGGACGCTCCTTTATGCCTTCCTTTTCTGTCTGTTTTTTCGAAATTTGTCTCCTCCCAAAATGGAAAGAAAATGAAGAATTGAAAAATCAAGAAAAGGGCTGGAGGGGGATGTGGGGGCTGTGTGGGGGCGGCAGGGCTGGCAATTTCTCCTAGTCGCAGAGGGCTGGCTATAGCAAGACCCTAAAATATATTTTTGAGTTAGTCTTCCACAGACTCTGCTCTCACCCACCGCCCAACGCGGATATGGTTGGCAGAGTAGGAAAGAAAAGAACAGGAAAGGGAGCGAGCCACATACCAGGTCGCCATAGCGAGCTCGAATCATGTTAATCTGTCCCTGTGCGAAACAATGGTGGCCCGCTTCCTTAGTAGTCATGAGATGTCCGGGTTTTACTCAATCACACAGTCCAGTATTGGAGGATGAGGATGAGGGCAAAAGATGTCATAGTCGAGAAACATGCGAAAACAAGAAGAAAAAAGACGAGTACAAGGCAACGATGCTGCGAGGCTTCAGGATCACAATGAAGATAGGGAATGAAAAAAAAAAAAAAACGAACCGATCACGAGCGAATGCGGGACAGCCTTCGCCGTCAGTCAGCCACTCGCTCTCAAATTCCGAAGAAGCCGCGGTTTGGCGCGAACGGAGACGGTGGGAGGTCCTAGCATGATGAACGACATTTGCTCTTTTTTACGCTGGATTGTGGGAGGATGAGACCAGTTTTGCAGGGAGAGATGAGCGATGAAGGGAGGGATGTTAGTGTGCGGCAAGCTCGTGTATTTCCCGCGGTGAACGGAGATTGGGAGCTTTGACGCAGTGTCCCCTCGAAAAACAAACCGTCTTTGGCTAGATCATCAAATTAGTTCAAGGGTGGAGGCAATCAGCTGGGGATTCGTGGGGATAGCGGAAAAGCCGTTTCCGACCCAGACTGCGCTTGGGCAGATTGAGCGAAAGCACACTACCTAGTGTCTTCTTGTCCAAGGTGGGAGGTGCATTTGGCTTCCCCTGACTGTCATAACGACATTTTGCGCCCATATCTTTCTCTTAGGGATCAAACTCGGATCCGTTACCAAACATCGATCAAGATGCCCCACGAGGCATCCTGATTTTGCCAGAAAAGCATTTTGCCATGGCCCGAAGGCAGTATGGTGGAATCGAAGCACCGGTGCCTCGGCCACAACGAGGCGTACTAGCAACTATACGAATACTGCGACGCTCTTATTCTTGGTACAATAATATCTATCTAATCTCACTGACGCAACAGGCCCGTTGACCCATACTTGATAACTGAGAAACCGGAAGGGCTGGTCCTCGGAGCCGAAAATAGAGGCCAAGTCGACCAGCATATCAACCCGTGACGGGCAATCTCGTTGACTGGCGGATGGGCTCGAGGTGGAGCTTGAAACTACGATCGCTTACCACTGAAAAGATGCCCACTGAAGGAGGATGCTGGAACTCACCGTGGCGGCGGTAATTTGAGAAGAGGATGGGTTGTGCTGGTGCCACAGTGGACAGCGAAGTCATTGAGGGTCCAAGGGGTAGTGTAGTTATGTGTTGTGCTGGGTTTTTATTGAATCACAGAATCAAGTAGGGCAGGAGGAATATGACGACAAAAGACTTCCGAGACTAGAGCAAAACAAAGAGAAAAGGGCGAGTAAGAGGGTACGAGGCGTCAGGTGCAGAATGAAAACAAAGAAGGACCAAGAAAAAATAAAGAGAAAAAGAAAAAAGAAACAATCGGGAGCGAGTTCGGGACAGCTTTCGCCATCAACCAGTCACCGCACCCCAAAATCCAATAACGGGCACCCATCGTTAACCAAAAAAACCCCCCGCGACAAAGTCGGAGGCCGTTGGGATCCAGGGTGTCCCCACCCGCGGGTTGCTGCTCAGATTGAGCCGCGCGCCCAGTTTCTTCAATTCCAGATACGTCTCACGTTTCGTCTCGTTCGATCTTTTCGTTCACATCGGCGACCCCAGGCGGTGCGAGCCGTACAATATGACATGAGCGCGCTTGACCTTGGCGGGCTGCACGGGCTTCACGACGGCGGCCGGCGAGTTAGTGGAGGCGACAGTGGGAGACGCCTGGGCCGAGGACTCGGTGTCGAGCTTTGTGTACGCGAAGCGGGCAAAGGCCGAGGAGGCGCGCGACTTGGCAGCGGCGACGGCGGTTGGCATCCGGGTTGTGGTGGGGGGGAGCGGACGAACGGAGGCCAGGCACGGTGGTGGTGAAGGCGGAGACGGCGGGGGTTCCGAGCGGGGTGATGGGCGACATTTGTTCGTTTGTTTTGTTGGATTGTGGGAAGGATGAGACCGGCTTTTTGTTGCAGTTTGTGTCAGAGATTTTCGAAGTGATAAGAGTGCGGATTCCGGAGCGTGCGTGCAGGAGCAGTATTTATATTGGGGAATAATAAGATTATGTTGTTGGAGTTTGGGCCGCGGACGCTGTCTCTAACCCGTGGGCGAGGGAAAACCTCGGGCGCAGTCAGCGACTTCCCCACGCTTTTTGAAGGCGAGCAACCCAACCCAACCAGAACGATCTCCACAACACACCTTTTTTGCCCACGATGCCCACCCCACTCGCCGTCGCCACAGTCGCCGCGTTCTCCACCGCCAGCCCGTTCTTCCGCGACCGCCGCCACCTCCGCAGCCACGGCCTCCCCCGGCAACCCTGAGCTCCCGCCAGCGTCGCCGGTGGTGCGCTGTGATGTGAGCCTCGTATGAACGCAAAGCCGTTTGGAGCAATGTTGGAGGGGTAGGGGCGGGAAGGAATGCCGGGGTGTTCTTGGCGTCTGCTGTTGCGTGCAACAACACGAACAGAAGAGAGACTTAGATAAAGAAAACGCGGATGAAGTAGACGGACGGTGTTCCACGACACCCCACGGCCCGGCGCGTTTAATGAGGGACCTGAGGTCACCGAAGACCTCGACGCTGGTCTCAGTGGCCGAGGCCGTCAAAGACGACCTTGCCGTCGACCTTGAGGGGTTGCCTTGACCTCAAGGTTGGGGATGGAAGGACTCCTGGACGATGAGCTGGCGAAGGGCAGACAGACCTGACAGCGGCACGCCGACGGGGAGCAGGCGGTGCGGCGGAAGGCGTCCGAGAAGACGAAGTGGACGGACTGGACGCGCGGGGCCGGTGGTGCTGCTGCTTGTGCTGGTGCAGTGGTGGTGGAAAAAGATGCTCTTATTACCCATTCTCCGAGTGTACCAAGGGTGGCGTCGAAAAGATTGAGTTGTTGCCACACGCACACGACAAAACAAGCAGAGGTCGCATTCCTCTAGCACGTCTCATTTCTTCTTGCCTCCCCCACCGCCACCACCACTACCCGCTGGCTTCGCTGCTGCTGCTGCAGGTTTAGACGCCTGCTGCTGCTGCTTTGGTGCTGCCTGTTGCGGCTTCGGGGCCGCTCGCTGCTTAGAGGCTGCCTGCTGCTGCTTCGGCGCGGCAGCTGACGTCTGTTGCCTCGACGATGCCGTTGCCTGCTGTTTCGGAGCGGCTGCTTGCTGTTTCTGCGGTGCTACCTGCTTCGACGCCGTCGTTGACTGCTTCGCCGCGCCGCCGCCGCTTCCCGCCTCTGCCTCCGCTCGTCCGCGCGGGTGTTTGTTGCTGCTGGGCCGGAGCTGCCTTTGACCCACCGCCACCACCGGTGGTACTTCCTCTCACCTGGCTCTTCGGCGCAGCGCCCCCGCCGCCGCCATTCGCGCGCGCAGGGGTCGCTTTGCTGGCTCCACCACCGCTACCACCAGTGTTGCCCCGGGCTGCGGGGGCCTTCATACCGCCGCCGCTGCCGCCTCCCGCCGCTTTGTTCGGGCTCCCTCCTCCGCCGCGCGTCGTCTGACCAGCCTTGCTTCCAGTCGTGGCCTGTTTGCCACCTCCGCCGCCGTTAGCACCAGCGCCGCGTCCACCAGCTGGCTGCTTGCCATTCGCGCGCACAGCTTTGTTACCGCCGGCGCCGGCAGCGCCTCCAGCACCACTACCACCACGGGTCGTCACCGCCGCCTTACCACCAGGTGCGGCTCCTTTACTGCCGGTTCCACCAGCTTTGCCGCCTCCATCTCCACCCGCCGCCGCCGCGGTTCGCCGCTGGCGTCTTGCTGCTAGCCGCGGCCCCTTTTCCGCCTCCGCCTACGTTGCCGCCGGCTCCGCGACCCGCAGCGCCTCCGCCAGTTTTGCCTGCGACGGCCTTTCCGCCTCCGACTCCACCGCCAGCCCCGCGGGCCTGTGTACTAGCCTTGCTGCCAGCAGGTGTTCCTTTACCGAGGCCGCCTCCGGCTGTTTTGCCAGGTCCGGCCCTACCGCCGCCACCGCCACGGGTCGTGGTTCCGGTCTTGCCGCTCGCGCCCATTCCATTGCCACCCCCGCCAGTTTGAGCCTTGCCGTTGGTACCGCCGGCTTTGGCGCCGCCTGCACCTCCACCGCCACCGCGGGCCGTCGCTCCAGCCTTGCTGCCAGCCGTGGCGCCTTTGGTACCTCCGCCGTTCGCACCGGTGCCCCGTCCCGCCGCCGTAGCTTTGCCTGCGGCACCACCGCCAGCCGCTTTAGCACCGCCTCCGCCGGCAGTTTTGCCAACCCCGCCCTTTCCGCCTCCGGCTCCACCGCCGCCGCCGCCGCGGGCCGCCGTTCCGGCCTTGCCGCCGGCCGATGCCCCTTTCCCACCACCGCCTCCAGTGGCGCCGGCCCCGCCCCGTCCTGCAGCTGCCGCGGTCTTGCCGTTCGCGCCGCCACCGCCGGCTTTACCGCCCTTCCCGCCGCCTCCGACCCCGGTGCCGCCGCCGCGGGCCGTCGTCGCTCCCGCCTTGCTGCCGCCGGCGGTTCCTTTGCCACCGCCGCCCACTTGGGGGGCCTTTCCGTTCGCGCCGCCAACTTTACTTCCTCCGCCCGCGCCGCCACCGCCACCACCGCCTCGGCCAGCTGCTGCTGCCTTGCCGGCGGCGGGTGCGCCTTTGCCGCCTCCGTTCGCGCCGGTGCCGCGTCCAGCCCCTGCGGGCTTCCCGTTGTTACCACCGCCACCAGCTTTACCGGTTCCGGCGCCACCAACTTTTGCCGCACCAGTTCCTTTGCCTCCACCAGCCGTTGCGGTCTTGCCGGTTGCACCGCCCGCGTTGCCGCCGCCCCTGGTTGCTCCACCGCCGCCGCGGGTCGACGCGGGCGCCTTGCTGCCAGCAGCGGCTGCTTTGCCGAGGGCTCCCGTCCCTTTTCCTCCGGTCCCTCCTCCGTTGGCGCCGGCGCCGCGTCCAGCACCCGCGGTCTTGCCGTTCGCGCCACCAGCCTCACCAGCGCGGGCGCCACCGACTTTTCCCGCACCAGTTCCTTTCCCGTCACCGCTCGCGGGGGTCCTGGCGTTCGTACCGCCGCCGGCTCGTCCACCGCCGCCGCCGCCGCCGCCGCGGGTCGACGCGGACGCCTTGCTACCGGCGGCGACTCCTTTACCGCCGGCTGCGACCCCTTTTCCCCCGGCTCCACCGTTCACGGGGGTACTGCCGCGTCCAGCGCCTGCCGACTTGCCGGTGGCGCCGCCGCGACCAGCGTTGCCCGCACCCGCTCCTTTGCCTGCGGCGCTCGCCGGGATGTTGCCGGTCGGGCCGCCGCCGCCGCCGCCGCCCGCTTTACCACTTCCCGCTGCACCGCCGCCGCCGCGGCCCGGGCTGCGGGAAGTAGTGACGGCCGCGGTCTTGCCGCCGGCGGGCGTTCCCTTGCCGCCGGCTACGCCGGTCGCACCGGTACCGCGTGCCGTGCTCCCTGCGGTCTTGCCGTCGGCACCGCTTTTGCCCGCACCGGGTTCTTTCCCGGCTGGGGTCTTGGCGTTCGCACCGGCGGCTTTTGCGGTTTTGGCGGCGGCGTTCGGGTTTGTGCCGCAACCTCCCGACGCGCCGCCGTCGCGCCGGGTTTTCGAGTTGCAGTGGATGACGATGCCGTATTTCGAGCCCTTGCCGTTGTCGGCCTGTGTTGCAAGGTTCAGTAAGTTGTGGACAGGTAGAAAGCAACACATGCGAGCCGACTCGGGGGTCAGATGCTCGGGTTCTGTTTTTCTTGCACTTACCACCACCTGGACGTCTGCCTGCACCCTACCGCCGCCTTTGTGCTCGACGTCGTGGGCGCCGATGGTCACCTTGTGTCCGTCCAAGGGCTTTTTCATGTCGGGTTGGCCGGCCGGGATGGCGGGATCCTTGTCGTGCTCGTGGGCTCGGATTCGACTCTATTTTGTTTTTTT